GTGTGAACTATTCGCTAGGATTTCAAGTAACTAAATGTTTTATTTGTGCAGACTTACCCAGACCCAGCACAGAGCAATGAGGCTTACTACGGCCCTAACTACCCTTACGATGTACCTCCAGCTGCAGCACAGCCGGTGCAACAACCCCTTGATGCTCTTGCCCAACAAGCTTACTACGAGCCTTACTAGTGAGATTGATAACTCCAGCCTTGGTTTGTAGCCAGAATAACTATTTGCTTTTTCTTCAGTTGCCATAAAGGTTATTGTCTTTTGGATTATCACTTTTATAACTAATGTTTTTTTGCTTCTATTTACTTTTTCTTCAGTTGGTTGATCCATAAAGGTTATTGTCATTTGGATTTTGGCCGTTAACATAGAAGTTTGAATCCTAAATAGAGAAAATGTAACAACAAATAGATCATAGATACATAATACTGTATTACAAAATCCTTTACAATTCATCTATATAATTTGACTCTGATTAGTCTCATAGAATATAACAACAGATAGATCATAGATATATACAAAAACAATCTTGAGCTTGTTCAAGGACAAATTTGTTTTTGGATTTGGATGTATATAAAGCTTTTGAAACTTTGTTATCAGATTCTAGTCAATCTTTCTTTTTTCCCCAGTAAATTACTTTACAGATCAAGTGATTCAAGAACGTAAAACGACTTTGGTATTACTTTACTTTGGTATTTTCAACAAAATACGAGATGATCATTTCATTATTAGTTCAAGGGGTTATATTGTTTATTTATGGGTACAAAATATATGAAAAGTACCAAAAAAAAAACGACTATACGGATATATTTATAGGTGTATACACGCATTTGCGAGTTGTAGAATATGGAGGAAAATATATAAACTATTTTTTCTTTTCTTGTTCGATGGCTAAACTTTTTTTGGTCCCAAATTGGAGCTTACCAATTGGAATCTTCATGTGTAATTACACAGTTGTTTAAATTTCAAGGAGGAAAAAGTACAGAAACATGAAATACTGAAATTAGTTTTGCTTTTCTTTTTTCATTATTAACTGTGATCGGAGTTGTTTTCCAAATTACTACAACTATTTACTATTTACTGTGATTAAAAAAGTGGGAACTATAAGAGAAAATGAGGAGTTTCTGATTGGAATGGTGACTACTTATGTTAAGGTAACAAGTCAACTTCAAAAAGCTTATCTTCTTTCAATTATTAATCAATCAACGAAAATGCCGTTACACTTGGAAAACACTTGACTTTGTCTAAATAGTTTAAGTTGTATTGAGTCACAATAATCACAATAAAGCATTAACTAGAAGATATAAACACAAACCAAATCTCATCATTGCATCAAACCGGAAATGAAGATAATCCCAAACCGGGATTTCTCTCTCTTCTTTGATCTTCTTGGATTTCTTGGATGCAGCAGTAAACGGTCCTGCTATATATGTGGATTTCGCTAAAGCGAAGCAAAGTTTTGGTGGTGGCTTTCCAATACCTAGAGGACCACCTGAGCCAGTGGTAGTAAGCACAGAAACTAAAACAGCGAAAAGCGACAAACCGAAACGAAAATAGCAAATTGCAGATACTGCTGCTGATTTATCGGGAGAAAGCTCCATTTCATTTCTTTGTATGAAAGCACTTTTTAAAGTGTTTTTTTGTTTTGCTTCTCTTTGTTTTATGCGTAGAGACATGAGCAAGTTTCAGTATTAGCTTTCTACTTGCTCTTACTTCTTTATAATCTCTGGATTTTTTGGAATTGAAGCAGATGTAAATTATCACAACAAAACCAATTTTTAACGAACTTGACTGCTCGAGTATTCAATTCAGATTAATCGGTTCGAAAAATCGAATCGAGATAACCGAATTAAGAAAACAACAAAAACAAACCAAATTCCATACGTGGCGTAATATAACTGGTTGTTTGTTTTAATTAATTCTCGCTCCTCCACGTCTACGGATAAAGATCCTCGTCGTGCCACGTCATCATCCCAGCGATTTTTTTCTCTCCTTCTTCTTCTTCACTGACCAAAGTTCCAGGTAAAATCTCCCGCTGATTTTCGATGTAGATGGAAGTTAAGCTACATCGGCCGGGTCTTGTATCGTCAAGGTTACAGTTATCTCCTCCTAATTTGTCTCGGGAATCTTCGATTTTATGGTCCTTTTCGTGATTTTAAATTTGATTGTGTTAAACCTGTACAATGATCTTGCGTGTATTAGTGTTTAACCTCGAATTGACTTTCCTTTTTGGGTAACAAAGTATAAAGAATGGGCCAAGATGAATTTTAAACTTGTCTGCCTGGTTCTCTGCAGTCTGTTGTCCATTGAGTTTTGGATCTGCCTCATAGTACACGACGTCTCCTGTATCGCTGACGAAATGGTCTTGCTTCATACTTCTTATGAGGCTTCCTAGTAAGTGAAGTGGCAGCTGTCCAGAGTTTTTTGGTTTCCTGTAGTACTTCCCTAGAACTGGTTTAGCTGCTTCTGTCTAGAAAAAGGGGGGAAAAAAAATAGAAACAAATCACTGTCAGGATGAAAGTGAATACCGTTTTTCCCTGGACTTCTTCCCCACTGCAATCAAGAACACACTGAATCAGATGCTATATAACCAGGTGGATTGATCTTAATATCGTTTGGTTTTGACCATATATGGAACCTCTCATGGCCATTGAACTACGGTTTAGCCATTAAAGATTGTGCCTTTTGTAATGAATGACCAAGTTTTTGCGTTTGCGTTTTGAATATGCGTTTTGTTACGGGGGATTTTGAAAAGTATCCTAAATTTTATATGGAAATTTGAAAAGTACACTTAATCTTGTAAAGTTGGGAAAATATACATTTTTATTACGTAAAAGTACGTAAATACCCTTATACATATTTAACATGCTAAATAACTTAAAAATAATTTAAAAAT